GAACAATAATAGCGGTCATGTTCACTGAGGAATAATTGGTAGGAGGCTGATTCGATCTGTTATCCATGCTGCCAGAGAAACGTTCACGCAATGATGCAGTCACCTATTTCTATAGTACATGCATACAAATCATTCACATATATCCACCAAACCTAGAAGAACATTTTCTGAAAAATGCCATTTCAATGAAAATCACATGCAGTGATAGAAACCTCATATCCACCACTTAAATTTTGTGTTCGGTGTAGATTCTGTGAGTCTGGACTATTCCTCCTCCCTCCAACTGGTTAAGTTCTATTTGAGTTTGGGAACCATGCAGCATTTTCAGCCCTGAACAAAAAAAAAAACAGAAGTAGGGCTGTGATGTGAGGTAATCATTACTTCACAGGACATTGCTTGGGTCATTGCTTTGCATTCAGGACTAAAAGTATGTCAATCATGTCACACAAACCTTTTAGCTAGATAGATATATTGGGGGAAGGTTTAATAGATTATTTTTAAAAATAAATAGATATGACTTGCCTAGATTCCTAGTCATCTATCTACAGCTCTGAACGATGTAAGTTATCCATCCTGAATTCTCATGATTCTTGCAGTATTGGTTACCTCATCTGCATAAAATGAATAGAATAAATTGTTACGAATCCAAAAATATACGGTTGCCAGGATACATCTTGCTAGATGCAAATGAAAATGGGTTTGTGCCGACCAGCTTAAAATAGTTTGGTACTTAGACATTTTCTTATTAACATTAATAGTGATAAATGAAACGTTGTATATCCAGTAAGCTGTTGAAATTATTGCTATTTGTTTTGCATTGGGAATAGTATTTCAAGCAAATCCGAACTACTTTGTATACAATATAATTCCACGAAAAATGCTACAGTTCACTGTAGAAGAAGCACACAGAATGAATAAATAATCCATGTCAGCTTCTTGATAAACTTTTTGGATTCAAAAATAAGTTTTCCATTAATTTCTTTTATGATTTTTCCGTGCTAAGGCATTGGTGATCATCCCTTAGTGTATAGGAACACTATTATTATGCTTTGTCCACATATATTTGGATAAGGTAATTATAATGGAGAACCATATAAAAAATACCTTTGGTCTAACTACATTTCTATGCAACCACATAGCCAAAGTCTCATTATTTAATATGCTATATATTATTTCTAACATGTTAAAAAGCATCAAAAATGTAATTAATTATATTTTTATTTATTTATATACGATTATTTTTTATTTATAGATAATTAATATTTATTTCAGCAATATATTTTAAAAAGCTCAAATATTTCTAAGTTGTATAAATACTGATATCTTAAAAAGCCTATACAAGAAATTTAACTGTATCACTTTCTTCAGGAAAGCTGTTTAATTTGTGTAAGACTGATAATGAAAACGAGTCTACATTTAATCCCTAATGAAGACAATGCATAAAATAAATGCACTTTTATTGCATGCCGTTCTAGGTGTGTACATGTACATTTAGAAAGGGATTATTGTTCCTATAGATTGACTTCCAAATAGGTAAATAAATATAGGTCAGATTTCCAGCTGTATTCAATTGGGACTCCCTGATCTTTGAAGTCCAGCATAGCTGCTCTAACCTATAGTAGTTGCTACCTTGCCAGGAAAAAAGCTGGTTAGCCATGGTTATATCTGCAACAGTGTCTGGATATCTGCAACAATTGAGATGCAGAAGTTTTCTCTGCACCATTACAAGTGTTCGATTTCTTTGAAAGGGGGAAAGAGACTGACAAAGCCACAGCAGAATATTTCTCTGAATGAAAAACAATTTCAGACATAATTCAGAGACATAGGATGACATTAACCCTCCCTCCTCTTTCTTTTTCTTTTTTCTTTTTTTTTTTTTTTGCCTTGCTGTGGCTCAAGACACCGATTTTACTTCTAATTCACAGTAGTATAACTGAGAGAAGGATTAGGTCCCTAAATTGCAAAGCAGTACTGAGGTTAGGCATCACAAGCGAAGAACAACTACAATTTCAAACAATATCAATGGCATAACCTTCCATTATACAAGTGATGACAGGATCATGCTTGAATATTCATATAATTTGTTTCACAGAATATATCAGTGTTACCCTTTTCTCTGTGCTAACCACAAAAACTAAAGTATTTCCAGATGGAGTATAGGATTATGGGGCTGCTTCAAAGGCCGCTAAAACTGCAAAGACTTTCCTTTGGATTCAGTAATCTCTGAACTGGTTTCTAAATCTACCTCTTCAGAGAATGCTTCATTTGGTCTACACAGAGGTAAAATGAGTGTTAAGAATGATGTCCCTTCATTCCACAAATCAGCTCCTACATGTACTACTAAAGAAAACTGCTAGATATATCTACTAGTTCTGCTTGGCAAATTAACCATCAGAATCAGGTAACTCACACTCCCTTCTGATCTGAGGTCACTGGTTGCACTCAGATGATTGTTAGTGCAGTTACTTAGCACAGAACTCTGTAAGCAAAACGCTGTACAAGCAAGTTGAGCTGTTACTATGTCCTAGCTAAGCCCTGGCACCTGGTTGTGTATACATTGCCATAAATGTGCAGTAAAATGCGTTAAATTCCCCTGAAATTTGAGATAACAGATGGGATTCAGCATGAGATTCAAACACCCAAATTTTAGATGTCTGTTTGCAGGTGTCTTCAGTTAGGTGTCTAAGCTCCCACTGTAATGTAGAGAGATTCACTTGCATAGCTGTGGTCATCCTGAATTATCTGAACCATGTGTATTGGTTACAGGACCCACAGGACCCTGTGCTTCTGCAAGAGCAGTAGAAAACAAGGCAAGATATCCAAGGGTATCTTAAAAAGCCCTAAATGTCCATACTTAACACACACATGGATCAGGACCTGGGTTGATGGTGCCTGGGTAGCTTTGAGCTGCTGACAGCAGAGACTCTTAGCGGCTCGTCATTGTGTTGCTCACCAGACAACTGACTGTAGGCATCTAAGTGCTTCTTGTGATGCTTAAGGCACCTATATGAAAGCACCAGAATTGGACCCTACTACTGACTAAAATGGGAGGTTACACACCTAACTAATATCTAAGATCATGCCTATCTGTATATCTGAATGTAGATGAAGAATTCAGCTGACTGGAAGCATATCCTCCCATCTGAGAAAGCCCAGGGTATTTTAGATACTGGCATGGGGCTAGTAGAGACAGATATAGAACTATATGGAAAACCTGCACCCTTTCACAGCAAAAGCTGGAGGCTGTGTGCGATGCCTCATAGGGTCTAAATGATACTGGATGACCATATTTAGGAACGTGAATCCTACCAAATGTATCTTAAACTGAATTTGTCTTCCTTGTGCATTGGTATAACAGTTTCACACAGACAGTTACTGTTGCCTGGCTAATACACAAGTAGCTGATTAAATGATTATTTCCCGGTCTCTAACGTCATTGTCCAAAGTTGAGAATCTGAAATCTATTACTGAGTTGCCATTCCCCCTAAAGGCTCTTCAACTTCAGTCTTATGGCAGTATCTGACGATAAAGCTACGTAGATGTTCTACAGTTCATTTTCATCAATATAGAAAAGTGCCTTTGTTTTGACAGGATTTAAAAGTTGTGTTTATCTAAGTTAAACACTATTAGTATCTAGAGTTAAAATACTCTTCTGGCTAAGTCCCTGCTACATTCAGTATAGATAATGTGAGAGCATACGTAATACACACCAACAGAGTTAGAATATTTACAAATGATGGGTGGGTGCTACCCCTTTTTTTGTAAAAGCGTCTGGTAAAAGATACGTCCATTACATAGTGGTCAGAATACACACCCCTTAAAAATAACCAAGGAAAAGTGGACATTGAACTGCTGGTTGGGAATCTGAGGTTCAGTTCTGTCCTCTTTCAAGTTTTCCATATGACCTTTTTTTCCTAGTTTTCCTAATGCTATTTACCTGTTTTATAAGTTACTTTGAGGCTTGAAAACGAAAAATGCAAGTCCGTAATGTAGTGTCTTGTTAAGCTGGGTGCTATAAGGGTAATTATATCAAATATGTGCTACAGTAACAGAGACTGAGTCTTTTAATAGACTAATTATGTCCCTTGAATTATTTTCTAACTAGAAAATTTGGAACTTTTTAAACCAAAAAGATCTAATTCAAGGTTACCTGGCTTTAGTTAAGGATTGAGAAATTAATGTAAAAGTGTTGCTGCTGTGGGACACTTACAGGGTTGCATCAGTAAGCAGCAGATGCTACTAGAGCAGTACTAGATGCTACTAGACAGCTCTACCAAACGGCTGGGGTTCACAGCGCTTCCGAAGTGGCCGTATCACACCTGCCGTGAGAATCACACCTCCTCTGCGCGTAGGCCCGTTCTCTGACACATTTTCTCAAGCCAGAACACAGCTGTGAACTGCGGGGCTCACTGACACAGTGATATAATGCCTTTGCGGTCAGCATTACTCAGATCATAGCTTCTCACATCTGGAGAACTCTGTAAGCAAAAACGTGGTATGAACAAATAAACACAATAAACAGATATTTCTATGCTATACTTCCAATACTGTTACTAATAGGCTTTTTTCCCCCCTTTGTTTCTTCCTGTAAATGACTCACAGGCTGGCTTATGGGGAAGGGGAAACGGAGCTCTGTGTAGCCACTCTTACAACTTTAACCTTATTTAACCCTCAAAACAGTAAGAGGAAGTGCAAAGTATTTTCATGAGCTGTGAAGGGGCTCAGATCTGGCTTTGACATCTTAAGGAAGTACTGCCTTCTGCAGAGCCAGAAACGCAAAAATTGCGTTTTGCAGCCCTGCTGGACTCGAACATGTAGCCCGCCCCCCCCCTCCCCGCCCCAGCGCACACAAGCCCGACGGACAGAGCGGGCAGGCTGCAAGGGGACGGGAGGGGAATTCTGCGAAACGGGACGTATTTGGGTCAGAAAGGATGTCGCCGCCGCGAGGCGCGCAGGGGGCGGAGGTTTGGCTCCTCTCCTCGGGGGAAGCATGGGTGACACTGGCACATTTTTCTGCCTGCACTGCTGAGCGCGCACACGCTGCGGTTGGCTGCAAGGGGCTGAGACACCCTAAAGCAACCGCAGCCCACGGGGTTCCGCAGCGTCTGGGCGGCTCCAGGCGCCCCCCGCGAACGAGGTTGGTGCAGAGGC